ATAATTTATCATTATATTAAAAAACCCTGAAATGTTAAAACTGTAAAGTTACAATCATATGTTTATATTACTGTTTTTCTATTTTTTTATTTTACTTTTTTTCAAGGCTGCACATGAAATTGTCTAGAGAGCTGTTCTAAACTAAATTTCTTTTTGTTTTACACTTGTGTAAACAAAATGACAAATAAATCTGTCTAAGTCTAAGTCTAATTGTCATTTCTGAACTTTGACTAGGCCTAACTAGCTAATATACCCTGATCTCAAACCTTCCATTCAAGCTCTGTCCAGGCACCTCTGCCTATTATCAAGTCTTTTTATGGCAGGATTTTATTTCATTTTATCAATTCTAGTCTTATTGTTCCCGCTTAAGAAAACCTTCCCCACAGGATGATGCTGCCACCACCCTGATTAAACCTGGAGATAGTGAGTTGGCTTGACTCCATCTGTCCCTCTGTCTGACCATCCATGTCCTTGTGTTTAATGTATCATTGTAAGCAGGGGTGTCAACCACAATCACTCCATAATGTCCAGAGCCTTCAGCATCTTGTAACAAATTATCCACCCCAGGCAGCCTGGCACTGGGCAATTTAATAACCGTGGTGGCTTCCGCTACAAAGATGGAATCACCTTTCGCTGAATCGTCCGATACTGCCATCGCCCTGATGTGGCTTTCAGTGCAAAACAATGTCTACATTCGGGGTTTACAGTCTCTCGCCTAATATAGCCTGAGATAGTCCCGACTTCCCCCCTCTGAGTGTTTGAAATGGCTGACCAGAAGGTCAGCAGAATGTTCTTTTTCATAGCCTCTCTGAATTCATGCCAACACAAATTTTTTCAACTCCACAACCACACTGTCCTTCTGGCCTCCCGGTATCTGTCTCCTTGTTCAGACATCCCGATTAAAATCCAAGCCCTGAACACTTTCTTCTTCACCTTGACAGCTCCAACTACTGCTGCTGTTCACCAGCAAGTCCTGTTATTACAAAACATCACATAGTTTTCTATCAAGTGTGACACTTTGTCAGACACTCTTGCTATATACTGTGGTTTTTACTGTTTGAGGCCATTGTATAGATGACAAAATATATGTTAATATAAGCAGTGCAGCTAGATTACACATAGAAAATGTTAATGAAATACTGTCTAAAAATTAGACAGCCCAAGAGCTTGAGGAGCTATTGTCAGTCCCTAGATAATGATTCTCTCTAAATGAAATAGAAAAGAGATAACATACACAAGTATTATAATTATCTCTTTGATTTTATTCAAAGGCTCTATGGTGCAGACTGCCTGAAAAACTCTGCCGACTTAATAATATTCATAAAATCATCCATTCGCTACAGAAATTAAAGACAACAAAAGCCTTATATTAGATACTGTTTTTGTTTCTTACATGAAGAAAGCAGATTTAAATAATTAATGCAAAACCTTTAAAAAGACCTTAAAAAAGACAGGCTACTATGTGTATATTTTCTAAATGACACATTTTTTTTTTTACCTGACCTTGCATTTCTTTTAAAGATAAATCTGGAAGCTGGCATGTGATATTTTCACATTAACATAACAAACCAACATAATTTACAAGTAAAATAATTCATTCCCATTTTATTTTAAAGGGCTATATTTAAATGTTCCCTTTTAATACTTTAGCTTTCATTCACACAACATAAAAAATATGCAAATGTGCGACAACAAAAGGGAAAAGTGTCTAATGAAAGTGAACTTCAATATGTGCAGGGAAAGGTGGAGGTTACGCCAGCATAATCTAAATTGGTAAATATCTGCTCTCCCTCCTTAGCAACAGCTGCCCTATTTTCGAGATTTTAGAAATTTCCATGTTATAAAGAGGCATAAAAAGATACAAACAGGGTATTTGTAAACCTCTCCGAGGCAGAAGCCCCAGCTGTAAGTAAGTCCTAATCAGAATGCAGCGCTCTATGCTTGTCTAACACTTACCTTATGAGAATAATGGGGGTCCACTATTCTAGCAAGTCCAAAGTCACCAATCTTGAGCAGCATTTGGTCTGTGTTGATGAAAATGTTGGCAGGTTTCAGGTCTCGGTGCAGGACGTTAGCTGAGTGGATGAATTTAAGGCCCCTCAGCAGCTGATAAAACAGCAGGGTAGCATGACCTGTTGAAGGATGGAAATTAGTTATAGGTCTAATTAAGATCATTTTCCTATAGTATAATACAGTTCCTAAAATTAGTGCAAATAGTTTGCACTTTTCAAACTGAATTTATTTATTTACGTTTTAGCAAGTGAGGTAAAGTTAATTAATACTCACATTATCCATACTGACCACAAAAAGAAAAATTCTCTAGTTGCTTGTACATCCCTCATGCATCAGTATTTAACAATACACCGTAGAAAAAAGAGATCATTTAAGTCATTTTGTGATTTGCAAATAAAGATTTTTTGTTTTCTCTTTAATTAAACATATAAAAAGATTGAGGATTAGGTCACTTAGGACACACATGGCTTATGTGGCCATGGGTTAATGTTGACCGTGGGTTAAAATCAATGTCCACTTGACCACCACTCTAGTAAAATAGATGCTTTAACATGAGTAAACCCGGGTTGACTAGCCATATGGGCTGTAGAAGCACCGCTATTTAAAATACATGGTTGGAGACAGAATGAGAAACAGTAACCAGGGCCCTCTGCCTTTTCCAAATCAAAGAAAAATCCCCTATAAGAGCCTAATCTAGTTTAACATGCCCCAAACACCCAACAAACACTGCAACAGAATGAGTGGAAAACCTATACCTATTTATTCTGTAAATTTGGACAAAACTTGGGAATATAATCATTGTTATTCATACCTAAAAATAGTTTTATTCATTAACAAATATGTCTTAAAAAGGACTAAACCTCTATAATTATTTGACTATCTAATCAATTAGAGCTGTTAGTTATGCTTGTCTTTATACACTAGTAAAGTAATAATACACATTAATGTGGCTATAATGGTTAGTATGCTTTTAAACAGCACTGAAAATAATTACCTTTTAGGCACCACATAACTTTCAGCCACTAGGGGTGCTGTAAGTTCCAGTTTTAGTGCCATAGAAGGCCACTGCCATTACTGCACTGTTGCAACACAATCGGTCTCCCTCAGGTTTTGGATTCTGACAGCAGACCACTTTGAGAAAAGTCAAGTTTCATGTAAAGATAAGGCCACATTCACCCTTCAGTCCTACTTCAGAGAACCAAAACAATGTCTGATTCAACCCTGACTCGTGAATGAAAAAAAATAGATGTATATAAGTTTAGCTCCAGAGTATAAGGGGAGCTCAAACTGCTATAAAGCTGCGTTATAGGTCACACAACCTGTTCAGCAACAGATCCGACCCTTATAAGTTACATAAATGAGTTTTTTAGAGGTGCAGCCCACTATACACTAAGTGCTGTATGTTAACCGGAAAAAATAATTTAATATATCTCAAATTGGGCTAATATTTGAGACACTTGCTGCTAAATATATATTTTTTGGGGGTAGAAAATGTTTCTTGAAAAAATTACCTCATTATTTAAATCCATAAATCAGATTAAATACCTTATATTTTCTCTTACTTGTAGGTAGAGGTCCCTGGTCCAGTAACCGGGCCAGATCAGTCTCCATACACTCCTGGATGATATAAAGGGCGCTAAGCTGGGATGGGTCCCTGGGTAGCGGCCATCCGTACGGCGCCACAACCTCATGGACCTGCACTACGTTCTCATGGTGAAGTCGTTGTGTGATTTTCACCTCCCGCAGGGCATGCTTCATAGTGATTGCATCTCGCATTACCAGCTTTTTTATAGCTACTCGCTGCCCAGTGCGCTGATCAAGAGCAGACAGGACGAGGCCAGTCACACCAGTGCCAAGAGGTCGGGGGTCGACAAAATGGCCACTAAGTTCAAAGCCATGAAGAAACAAAGAGTTGGCCTGGCTGGCCATTGTAGCTCAGTTTGAGGGGATGGGCTTATTATTTTCTAATATGCAGCGTTATGCAGAGGATGGTAAACCTTGTTGGGGAACCGTGACAATGTCTTTCTCTTGTTAAGAATCAAAATATCGTGGGGAATAAAATTTGTCTGCAAGAGTCACATCTGGTTTACATCATCATGAAAAAGGGTGTCCTAGAGCAAATAATAGGACATTTTTGGACCTCCTTTGGGCAATCTTTACATCAGATATGTTGCCCATTTTAGCATAAACAAAGACAAAATGTGTGTTACAATTTTCTTTTCTGATGCGTGAGCCTAAAACTAAAACAAGAAGTATTTTAGCTTAAAAAAGAACTTCTAAAATAAATCAAAGATGTATCTTTATCAGTCATCCATTAGTTTCATCTTTATGCCTGTGGTGGAGACACACACAGCAAAGATTTAAAATATCACTTTCCCTTCAGCATCTTTCTCTTGACATATGATGTTTTTTTTTTTCTTCTGCTCTAGACAGCAGGTTAAAAGAATTGAAAGCTTTCTTTGTATCTCCTAGATATGGATGTAAGTGAGTCTCACTAAAGTAAATGAGTGCAGGAGTATGTGGATATGTACAAGCCCTATGTGAGGTTAATTCTGCTCCAAGTCAACACATTGTGGGACACTCTCCTTTGCAACATTGAGATTTGATATTTAGGCAGGTGCAATAGGGTTGGGTCAACAGGAAGGCATTCAGAGAGCCTCTGTTGGCTCCTCCTCTTCTTCCATGATACTGCTGAGTTCTTCTGGCAAGTTCATTCAGATCATTGCCCACAGTTGGATGGAAGTTAAATCCCGGAACTGTTGTACCCCCCTGTGTTTGCATGTGCACACGTGTGCATGAGTTTAATCCCCCAGTAATCTTCTTTCTGTTGCCTTCTTATGAATGTAGAGCTTTCAGCAGCATATCGTGGTCAAAGAGAGAACATCCTGCTCAGCACATCTGCTGTTTCTTCCTCTGCTGCTGGGAAGAAAGAAGGGGAAACAGGATGAACAGAATTTTGAGATGCACAGACGATAGATGAAAGTTAAACAGGGAGAGGTTCTGTTGAAGTGTGACTGTTACATAACATGAAACAGCCCTGTAATCTAATCCTCAAAAGTAGCTCCGTGTTCCCCGTATGGGTAGTCATCTCAGTTATATGCTGAAATGTTTTGATCAGAGACCTCTTTCCGCCCTCCATTTTTATGTAAAGCTGTAACTAAATGTTTATTTTGAGAGCTAAAAATTAGGAGCATTCATTGTTCAGCTATTTCAATTGGATTGGGTGCATTCAGACGGAAAAATGATGTTTATTTTGTTATCCACCTGCACATCATGCTAAAAATTTGTGGTGAAAAGAACATTTATTTTATTTTATCGATGGAGAAGGAGACAGTTCTTTAATTTTAAATCTTTATTACCTTTCATTTTCCTTCCTGCCTCCAATGTGTCTAATAAATATACAGTAAATCAAGCTTTTTCAATCCTTTTGTTCCAGTGTGACACAACCATCCTTAAAAACATGAATCAATCCATTAATCAATACAACGAATCTCCCTACTAGGCTGAAAACCATCCCTGTTTTGGGTAGGAGGGGCAAGTGGGTCAGGTCATGACACTGTCTTTTTTTATTATATCATAGCTTCTCTCAGATCAGTGAATCTCAGACAGACTGCAGGAGGCTGCAAGATAGTAAAGTGGGAGCAGTTAGAGTAGGGAGATGGAGCACAGGCTGTAGTGCTGGATGGGAAGTGCAGCACTGGGGTAACTTTATAAATAATGCATAATCACTTGCAACAGCGGTTCCTGCTCTCTTTACGCATTTATTCAGGCAACAGCTGAATTAATTTGGAGTTTGCAGACCGAAAATGCTGCCAGGTTCTGTGTCCAGAACCAGCTAATCAAAACCGTTAAATTGGCTTTAATTGCAATTAATATCCTATTCATGAAGAGAAAATGAAATTGCAGGTGATTTTCGAGGTAAATGATGTTTTCTGTGTTTCTCTCTGCCAATCAGTTGCGTTTTTGTTTGCTTTCTTTCCTCCTCAGTGTTTTTGCGCTAATACAGATTTACTTTAGATGCTGCATGGCCTCTAAACACCATGCAGCTGCCTTTGTGTGTCCACACAGTAACGCCCCTCTGACGAAACAAAAACACTCAAAGTGCATAATAAAACACAGAGCCTCTTTTACCAAAATTATAAAAACAAAAAACTACACAAGCAACCATGTGCACCGTGTCACTATTTGAAGACTGTAGTTAAATCTCACCAATAGGAGGGTTTAGTTGGTTTTAAATAAAAAGGAAAAGAGAAGAAAATAGAGTGGAAAGATAAATGAACAGCAACCATCTGTACTCACAGAGGCATTACGCAGCCGCAGCGTCTCCACCAGAAACAAAGATCCGGATGTAAAGATGTGATAAAGATAGATCCTTAGGAGCGGAGAAAGTGAAACACCTGTCCATCGCTTTGAAAGTGAGATTTGGACGATATAGAAGGAGAAGAACAGCCGATATGACTAGAGGCAGGCAACAGAAGGAGCGATCCGATCCTCAGAGATGAGATAAAGCAGAGGCTGCTTCTCTGTGGGCGACTGTCCGCTCACTGTCAGCGCTGAATGGAGGGGGGCGCACATTGCAGTATACGGAAGAGGATTATGCCCAATGAAAAAATTAAAAAAGTTAACTGATTTTAACATTTTATTTCAGAATAATATGAGAAAAATGTCAGAATTCTGACTCAAAATTCTGACTTTAATCTCAGAATTCTGACTTTAATCTCAGAATTTTGGATCTTAATGTAGATGGGTACCATGAAGGAAGAGATGTGGTAGCACTCAGCTTAAAAAAA